CGATATATAATTAAAAGAGCAAATAGATTTTCGATCAGCATAATTTCAATGTTATGTAATTCATATTTAATTTGGTAGAATAAATATTTGGAGAAAATATAAATCTTTGCAAATGTAATAATCATTTTTCATGGACATATTCTTACTGCCATGCATAAGTATATGTCTGAAGAAAGCATATCCAAAAGTTTAATTATTTTTTAAACATTTTTTACCACGTCCTTTTTCCATCTCTAATATCCATCCCAAAAAAAATAATTTTCTACTTCAAAACCACAAAGTCAAAGTTCATTTTTATGACAAACCAAAAATCATTTGTCATTGTTTTATTTCTTTCTCTCAGTTTGTTCCATGGCCATGTCAGAGGCCATTCTTCATTTGCAATGTTTTTCCGCAGCAGTAATAATAAATAAAATATGAAAACATCAGCAGCAACAACAACAATGGCACATGAAACAAACGGGAAATGACATTAGGAAATAGAAAAGTTATTTGTATGCTATCACATCCGTTCATTTTCGTATATAAGAAATATTGTCAACATTTTGTTTCTCGTTTTTTACAAAGTTCATCATCATCATTAGCAGAACAATCACTGACGCTATCAACGCCACCACCACAAACATATTATATTGCCGGTACCCCACAATACCGAGTTATACTCAGAAGAGAGTGAGCAAATGTTGTCTTCTAACCGAAATCAGTTTTAGTCAAACATATCCATAATTCTGTAATCGAAACAGCATATCGATAGCAACAAGAATCAACAATAACAACAGGAAAAAATAACAACAATGGCTGTCTACTGTAGAATAGTCGACTCATTTGTCGACCCATCCATCTATCAGTCAGTTACAAACAGCCGCCACAAAATCTATACCACAAACAAATATCATGGCATGATTCCTTTTGTAATTCTGTTTGTGGGTGTGTGTTTCATAAGAGTAAATTTTGTGTTTGGTATAAAAGGGAAAAGGCCTGGAAAATGAAGTTTAACTAAAGAAGACAACTATTTGCCTTTCATAGGAGACTGGTAGAATAACTATAGGAAAAAGTTTGAAGATGAATTAGAGAATGTCATCGGTCCATAACAGACCAAAAGAAGGTTCTCAGACTGTAAAAGACCTGAATAAGTTTTTATGACTCTAGATGAAATTCCGTTTATTGAAAATATGAAGAAAGGCTGTGATTTTTGGAAAATGTGAAAAGGATTATCTGTACTTAAAAATCGGGTTTCCTTCTATAGAAGACCTACATATGGCTTTTTGTCTACAGAAACCATTTTCTTATTGAGGATTCCTAACACCTGAAGTAAGATTTTGTCTATAGAAGATATGACAAATTTCTACCTGAACAAGTTCTATTGTCTGAAAAAGGTCCGTTGGAGAAGACCTGAAATAAATTTTCTATAGAATACATAAATAATGTCTGGGATCTATAGAAGTCATGCTGAAAGCCTGTCTCTCGAAGGGTTGACCTGCAGAAGGTTCGCGCTATTCTATATACAGAAAGCGCCAATCTATCTATTTACAGAAACATTTATGAAGTTGTTTTTACCTTTAAGGGGACCCCCCCATTCTCGGGGTCAAAATTTTTGTTGATATAATTTGAATCTACACTGATTAAAGAATGTCTCTACAAAATTTCAAGTGAAAATCTCAAGAACTCTTCAAGATATAGCCGATTTATTGTGTCAGCATCAAGTGACGGCTGAAGGGCTTCTCAAACTTTAAACGCGTTTTTCTCTAAATATTTTTTTGCGAATGGCGGGCACGATAACTCAAAAACTAATAATCCAATCGGTTCCAAATTTTGCAACGTTTCTCTGGGAGTGTATATCTCTCGTATGAACTAGGATAAAGCCAATCGGTGAAGCTCTTCCTTATTTTTTAACTTGGTTTTTGGTATAAAATCGGCGATTTTCCAAAAATAATTTTTCAAAGGTCCATCATTTTGTTAATTTTAGAGCGAAGTCAATAATCCTAGTTCATACGAGAGCCAGACATGTACTCTTTCTAACACCGTTGGAATTTTCGGATTCCGATGTTCCAGTGAGGAGTTATCATGCCCGCCCTCAAAAATAAGGACTTTTCTTCAATTACAAAAAAACAACAAAACAACAACAAAAAATGTTTGTAAATTATTCTTCTTCTCTTTTAAATCTTCAAATATATATGTGCAAAATTACAAACCTTAACAAGCATTGGTATTGATTTACCAGCCCATTGAAATTCTTGAAAAATTAAAATCGAGAATGGGTGGGGTTCCCTTAAACAATGTATGGAAGTTTTCCTGTCCTGTCTAACTTCCGGCTATCAACGACCTGAAAAAATTTATTAGTTAGATGAAGGAATGTCTACTGTACAGAAAAAAAGGTCTCCGGTATATAAATGGGATATATATAACATGAGAAGGATTACTTTATTGTGAAGGATAATAAAAAGATCTGCTATGAAAGAATTATAAATAAAGATGGATATTCATTCATTAAAATGCCAAAAGTGGTGGGAAACCCTTATATGGAAAAATTCAACTTCGGTGGAAAATGCATCTGAAAACCTAATACTACAGTGAGTAGTGCCTACATTGAACGTATACTGAGTATTATCTGCGTAGAAACCACACTCACTTCAAACTACAGCCACTTCGATTGAAATGTACGCCCAGCGCCGTAATTTTCTATAGACAAAACCTAGTATTTTATATAGAAAAACTATAAGGTCCACAATACTTATTATATGTATAGAAAAAACTTCCAAGGCCACAGGACTATTTTATTTATAAAAAATGTCAGGGCCACTGGACCTATTTCGTCTATAAAAAAAATCAAAAGACCTATCCTTCCACAGTAACCTAGTTTTTTCCTTAAAAAAAATCACAGGAACCATTTTATCTATAATAGGAATATATTCTTATACTTTATTGGGCCTCTGGGGAATATTTTTAAAGTGTTGCAAGCATAATAGCAAATTTATGATGATGGACAGTATCAATAAATTCTTCTAGCTTCGTAGAAATTCTATAAGATACCTTCTAAGACACATTGAGGAAAGCTTTCCTTTGTTTGATTGAAGTTTTTTCTATATAACAGAACCAGATAACGTCTTCAGACTATAAAATACCTTAAAAGCAATTAAAATATATGAGAAATTTATGAGGTCTCTACCTATAGAATGAAGAAGCAAACAAATCAAATTCGCAAACACCAATGAGTTTGGCAATAAATTTGACAATTTCTTGACTTGTCTACAACTTTTGTTTGCCGCAAATATTTCGTCAGTTCTACACGCAACAAACATGCCAACTCTCACTCTCCTAGGAACCAACCGCTCTCATCGCAAATGTTTTTTTTTATTTAATATTCACGCACACGAACTTGTCCATGTTGCATGTTATTCTCTACTATTTAAGCGTTCTGCTAGTCGTCTTAATGTACATTTTGTTGTTGTTGCTATTATTATTTTCTGGCGTTCATTGTCGATGATTGTTGTAGCAATTTTTACACTTGAAAGGTAATTTGTATTTTAGTACCTAATTTAATTGTTTTGCTTTTGGAGAAAATGCCAACAAAAATAAAACACAAGGGGAGGTGGTGGTGAGGAAAGAGGAGGACGATGTGAACGCAACAAAATAAAAACGAAAAGACGTTGAAATGAAACTAATGGAAATACATTAAATGGGCCAAGAAAACACTTACACACACTCACCATGGCGTGTAGTGGCGAATATAGCAAACCAGTCGATGGTGGCTGGTAGGCTAGCAGACAACAACCTGGGTATGTGTGTGTCTGTATGTATGCCAATACATATATACCAGGAAAATAGTGTATATGCGTGCCATAAAATAAAACAGAAGTCACTGGTGGCGTATAATTATTATTTTAAAGAGGCGTGCACACACACCCGCACTCATACGCAAATACACATACGAATTGGCTGTGAGGCATAATTTTGTTGTAACAAAGCCTTTTTTTGAAATCGCAACTTGTGGCAAATTATTTGTTATTCTTTGTTGTAGAACTGCAATAACAAAAAACGGAAAACTGTTATAAAGTCATTGACATTATTTCATGAAATTGCAGTTGATAATTGACAATAAAAGAAGAAGTTTCACCAATTAAAAAACATTTCTAATGAGCAGATATAGAGGCTCATATATTTTGTTCAGAGAAATATCATTGCAACGGCTACATAGGACTATATAGAATAAAATTCAGGAGCCCAGAAATAAATTCACAGAACCAATTTGGCCTATTTTTTATAGAAAAAATACAGGGAATATTTTTTTATAGAAAATAAAATTGCGGGGCCACAAGACATATCTCTGGAATAAAGGAAATATTTTTTCTCAAAAAAAATTACATGATCTATCTTTTTCTATAGTAAAAAAATTAAGGGACCACAGGACCTATCTTTTATGGAAAAAAAATTACGGAACCTATAATAAAATTCACATGACCCCAGGGCCAATTTTTTATTTAAAAATCACAATACCATATTTTTTCTATAGAAAAAAATTAATATAACCTATTTTTCTGAAAAAACACAAAAGAACCTAAATTGCCTGGACGACAGGAAATATTTTTTCCCAACGAAAAAAAAAAATTTCTATAAAAAATATACGGACCTTTATTCCTATAAAAAATCGCAGGACCTATTCTTTCTTTAGAAAAAATCGCAGAAATCAGGGGCCTATTTTTCTAAAGAAAAATTTCGCAGGGGACCTACTTTTTTATAGAAAAAATCACAGGACATATTTTTTCTATAAATAAATAAATGCATAGCAACAATTTTAACTAAAGAAACAAATTCACAGGACTCTGTTTTAATTCATATAATTTTCCAAACTACACAAGCAATCATAACTGAAATCAATGAATTGAATCTCCCAGGATATCTACATCCTGTAATTCCACCCAATCTGTCTGTCTTTCTTTCACATTTCATCAAAACAAAACAAAGGGAAATAAATCAAATAATTATTCCGCACAATTACTTACCATTTCGCCCATGAACACGAACAGCAGCAACACCAGCAAAAGCAACAGGGTTTCTGTGACTGTTGCTGTTGACGTTGCAGTGGCGTGGTGCCATCCGTCAGTCCTCCACTTGTTGTCGTTGTTCCCATTGTGTTTGTTGTGCTTAATATGCCGCCTATGTGAATGCCACCGGTATTGACATCGGAGACAACGCTGCGGCCATTACCACCACCACCGCCGCCGCTTTCTCTGCCGCCGCCACCACCACCGGAACCATTGCCACCACTGCCGGCACCTGAACCACTACCGGCATTGGCAGCACTTTGTGATGATGAACTCATGCCGCGTAAACGGCATCCTGATGGCAGTTCCGATACTGTACAAGACATTCTGGAATTGAAGAGTGTAAATGAATATTAATTATTAAATAAATGTAATTATTTGTTTTTTTCGTTTTTAATTACTTACCTAAATTTGTTAAGTCTTTTGGTCTTAAGCTAAAAATTGCCTTATTGCTTCTATGCTTCCTTAAATTTAATTAAAAAATTTATTGAAGCCGTTGTTTTTTTTATAAATTTGGTTTGGTTGATTTCTAGAGTTTCGGGTTATTACTTCAATGTGTCTTAGTGTGTGCCAGGGTGCTTCGTAATATTTTTTTGTGTATAGTTGTTTTCGTTTGGTGCTCTAAGGATATTCTAAAGTTAACATTGGTTCTGTTGCATTCAACTAAACATCGAAATGCATGATGATTCATTTATGCTGAAAAGAAGAGAAGAAGAAATTGTTATTGTAATTTATGAATTTATACATTTTTATAAAAAAATCTTTATAACAATATACTCAAGTCCTTTATGGCGCAGGGCTTTTTTTGTTATATATAATCTCATTTGCAGGACCCCAGGACAGATTTTTTTCTTCATAAAAAAGTTTGTAGGACCACAGGACTTATTTTTTTCCTATGGAAAAAAATTCGAAGGAACTCGGGACTCATTTTTTTCTATAAAAAAATTCGCAGGACACCTGGATTGATTTTTTTTCTATGGAAAAAAATTTGCAGGACCCCAGGACAGATTTTTTTCTATGGAAAAAAATTTGCAGGACCTCAGGACAGATTTTTTCTATGGAAAAAAATTCGCTGGACCCCAGGACAGATTTTTTCTATAAAAACAATTCGCAGGACCTCAGTACAGATTTTTTCTATAGACCAAAATTCGCAAGACCCCAGAGTACGGATTTTTTTTATAGAAAAATATTCACAGGACCTTGAAATTATTTTTCCCAGGACCATTTAAAAATTCAATAAAAGTCATATAATGTTGTTTAATTCTTTTTAATTAATTTTTATATTTCAATTCCCTGAAAGTTGTCCTAAATTAACATAAAGTCTTTGTTTTAGTTAATTTATGTTTGACATGCATTTTTCATTAAGTAATGGATAAAAATATAAATCATCTTTAACCAAGCCAATACGGAATGAACTATGCCATGGTCTTAGGCCATACAATGATGGGCAAACGGACTACTTTCGTTTCTAATTCGTCTATCATTGGAATGCATTGACAATATCTTGTATTGCATTGTTGTTTAATTATCCTTTGAGTTGCTTGGGCTTTGCTCTGCTCTGCTCAAAATGTAAACATAAATCTTGTCATTTGTCAACAGAACTAAGTAGCAGTTGATTTCGATAAGACCTTTTGTGTAAAACGGAAATAAACACACAGTCTGTCACACACACACACACACACAAAAATGAGAGAGGGAGACATGGAAGAGCAAATGAATATACAACCAATAATCATAGCCAAGTGTTTGTTTGTGAGTGAGTGAGTGAGTGACTGTGTGTGTGTGTGAGTATTGTATAGAGATTTTTTTCATTTGGAACGTGCTGGCAGTTAGTCTGCCTGTATTTGAGGAAATTCAATTTAATTGTCGATGTTGGTTGTTCGTTGTTGCTGCTATTATTTGCCATGTCGATATAGAAGAAGAAGACGACGAAGGCGAACATTTACTAATTCAGGTCAATCACTTTGAAAATTTCCATTAGAAAATAAACGATGTGAATGAATGAAATTAAATGATAATGAAAGTGCTTCAAAAGGATAACCGAGATAGAGAGAGAGACACACACACAGCCCTGCACAGCAGTTGTAAAGAACATCGAACCAAATTGCTTAGACACCTATGAATATCTCGGAGAATACTGTTTATCGTGGCTTATGATGTCGACGACAATGATGTTGATGACAATCGTGCTAGAGATCAGTGTTGCCAATACCAACCATCTGTTTCAATTACACAAAATTAATTGAAACAGAAAACAAAATAATTTTTGTGGAGAAAAATCTAAACCCAATTGTGGCAAAATATCATTCTTCAACACGTCAAAAATCATAGTTTTCCCACCAAAAAAAAAAAACACAAAAATATGGAAACCCTGATCCAAATACAATTCAATAACAAAACAATTTGATGTAAAGCGAGAAAAATAGATTTTCATCCCACTATAAATGGATGGAATACAAACAGAAAAGGCATCCGTCGTCATCACTGATGTCGTAGTTGATGGAAATTTGTCCTTCCACTGTAAGAAGAACATCGACAATAGTGATGACGGTGACAACGACAACAACGACATCATAATTATCCACATCAAACCTAGACAATGCCAATGTGGCAGCCAACGTCCTCCCTCACAGGGTGACAGGAGGCATCGATAAATTGTCTATCTGTCGGTCTGTCTCACAGCCTGTCGGGATGGTAAATAACTCGACAACATTTACAGGCACTGAATGACAAACTATTGGCACTTGAATCAATTGCAAATTGAAAAAATCAGTTTTAGTCTTTTTTTGCACTTAATTCATATCAGATCTATGGGGACAGCAGTAGCAGGCACATCGTGACACGGAGGTATTATAGGCAGGCAATATCGATGGCAAATAGTTTGTGTAAACATGGATACGGTTTACACAGAGGAAAACATTTAAAGTAGACCGGTGTAAAATATTGTTTCCCTATTTTTTTCTATAGAAGAACTGTCCGGGGGTCCTGAGAATTTCTTTATATAAAAAATCAGTCCTAAGTCCAGAGAAAAAATTTAGTCTGAGCTCCAGTGAATATTTTCTATGGAAAATAAATCAGTCCTGGGATCCAGTGAATTTTTTTTATAGAAAAACAGTCCTAGGATCCTGTGAATATGTTTCTATAGAAAAACATTCATTCAGTCATGGAGTTCAGTGAATTTGGTCCTATAATAAAATATTTGTTTCTTTAGAAAATATGAGTCTCTAAGATTTCTTTCTATAGAAAGAAATAAGTCTTGAGGTTGTGTGATTTTTGTTATATAGAAAAGAATTTTTCTTCAGACGAAAATGTAGAAAAAAAAACAGTAGAAAAAATTACTCCTGGGAATTATTTCCTGACGTCCAGCTATTTTTTTTTTTTTTTGTATAGAAAAAAATTCTGGACCCCAGGCCTGAAAAATGGAATCCTGTGATTTTTTTTCATATAGAAAAAACAACAGTCCGGGGTCCTGAAATTTTTTTTAGATAGGTTTTTGAATCGTTTTTCTATAGAAACAGCAACCTTCGAATTCAGTCCTGAAGACCAGTGCATTTTTTCTACATAATATAAAAAAGTAACTTTTGTTGTGAGGTCCTGCAATCTTTTCTACATATCAAAATAGAGAATAAAAAAACAGTTCTGATGATTCCACGAAGAAAAAACTAGTTCTGAGGTCTTCGATTTTGTTTTAATTAATCCAGATGTCCCACGATTTTTTTCCTGCAAGATATTTTAAGAGGTACTGCCAAAAAATCGAGTGGTCGATGATAATGTTATTAGTATAATTTATCTATTGATGTGAACAACACCTTAACTATTTAGTCTTGCTTCTAAAACCACATAGGTGTTTGTTTGTATGACACCACTACAATTATAACTAATGGCCAACAACACTATCAGTTTCGTGTTGTTGTCCTTTCTTTGCCATTATCGTTGTCATCATCTTCATCATCATCATCACAATTACAAATATCGTAATAGTCTTAGAAGCAGTACCTTTCATTGTTATCACCCTATCTTCGTCTATCATAATTATCGAAAAACACGAGAAGAAGAAGACACGAAAAGGGGAGAATACTAATGGCACCAGGTATTACATTATTTTTAATCTCCGAATGCCACCCACCCATCCGTTTCCATCCGTGGCCCTACAACAGTATGCAGGCGATAGATAGCTATGTACTTCTGAAAAACATGTTCATTTACTGCTTGTCAAAACCCATCCTGCCATGGGCACCAAATCCTTAGGCCTTGGATGCAGCAACAGCATCATGCCTTACTGCCTGCCAGCCTGCCATTCAATCCGATAATGTACTTGTTAATCGTTAACTGAGTGAGTGGCTGGATGGATGTATGGGTGTGTGAATTGTTGGCTGGCAGCCTGGTTTGAATGACTGACTACTAAGTGAATGACAGCCAATAAGAGAACAACAGCAACAGCCAATATCTCGTCTTCCTCTTTTTTATCCTCCATTATTCAGTCTGAAATCAATTTGTAAATGCATTTATTGGTGATCAGAACAAACCCCGTAAGCTGTAGGGGCAGGCATTCACCGGGATATCATCGCATCAGCAGTTAACTATGGAAATTCGTTCGTTCGCCCCTGGCTGACTACTGACCACAGAAGGTGGTTAATAGTGGAGAAAAATACCACAGCCATGGAAATCGATTGGATAGATAATTGAAATTGTCGGTTTAGATAATTGTTGCAGTACAATTAACTTTAAAAAGGGATTAAGATGAAATGGATGAGGAAGATACAGGGGAGATAATTCGTTTTAAAATTGGGTCAGAGATTTCGACTTTTTCCATGGGAAAATAAGCTCAAAGTTTGAAACATACTTCGATTTATACAAGTTTTATAGAACCAATCATATGCATTTCCAGAGTATGGACTCCTTACTTTAAATTAAATAAAAAATGTTTGGTTCGATAAGGCCCAATTGTGTACACTTTCAATTATAAAGATCTATGTCAGATAATGGACCAAATGGATGAAGAAAATCGAGGCAAAAAATTGGGAAGAACCTTTATAGCCCTGATGTCCCACATTTTTTTCTATAAAATCTGTCCTCAAAATTAATACATCTTAATAAAAATACATTTTGAAGCCTTCGATTTGTTTCCTATAGAAAACATCAGTCCTCAGATCTGTCCTTATAATTAATTATTTTTAAAAATAAATTTTGAAGACTTCGGAATTGTTTCCTAGAGAAAAAATTAGACCTGAGATCATGCGATATTTTTTCTGAAGAAAAAAAATTAATCCTAAGGTCCTGCGAATTTTTTTCTATAGAAAAATATCTGTCTTGCAATTTTTTTTACAGAAAATATCAGTCCTGGGGTCCTCAAAAATTTTTTCTATAGAGAAAAAAATTAGTCCTTAGGTCCTGCAAAATTTTATTTTTAGAAAAAAATCAATCCTGAGGTCCTGCAAATTTTTTTCTCTATAGAAAAATATATGTCCTGCAAATTTTTTTTCTATAAAAAACAGTCTTGATGCCCT